AAAAAAAAAAAAAAAAAAGAAAAGAAAAGAAAAAGCCTGGAGCTATCGCTCACTGGGCTCAATCCCCAGTACCAAGACAAACAAACACAAACAGAATGCCAAAAAAGGGAACTATAGTAGAAAAAGTTTAAGAATATTGCCAGGAACACCAGAATTTCTAGCAGGGTCCAAGATGCAGCTCCAAGATGGGATGGTGTCTTAGCGTGTGTAACGCCTGGATTTGATCCCAGCTCCACAGAAAGGATGAGAGAGGATGTCACTGGGTGGCGCTGTGGGGGGCCACAGCTGCACTCCCAGCACTTGAGAGGCTGAGGCAGGTACAAGGCCAGCCTGGGCTGCGTGCCCAGAGACCGTCTCAGTGGAGAGAAGTAAAAGAGACAATGAGGAATAGAACCTGATGCAAAAAGAAAAAAAAATCCGAGGAGAGAGTGCTGCATAACAGAGGCACTAAACTGTTAGAACCTTGGACTTAGAGCCCAAGCACAGCCTACCAGGAATCAACAGAGCACGCATAAAACAGTGGTCTGCAGGGCACTGGGCGCCCTGCAGCAGAGGACAGTGACATCCCACTCAGAACAAGAAGGCCAGGCTGGTGGAGTTACCGCAGGGGTGGGCTGGGGTCTGCATGCTCCCCAGAGCAGGGTCAGGACCCTCAGTGTGGTCAGCTTCGCCCTGAGGCCTGCAGCTGTGTTCCTGGAGGCAGAATGAGGTGTGTTCCCTCTCCTGGGAAGAAGCCCCCTGGGGCTCAGGGCTCAGAGGGTCTTCTCTGCTGGTCCCTATTCACAGAGCCAGGATGGTTTTCCCCCAGCTCTTGCTTTGAGTGTGAATTATTCCTATTGCACTCATTCAAATAAAACATGATTCCAAGTCCGTACCAGAAAGATTCCTCTGGGGTGTGGGTACTGAATTCGTGCTTTGATCCTGCGCTCTTCCCTAGTGGATCTCAACATGAGAGTGGCCCCCCAGTCTCACCGGGGATTTTCCAGACTAAGCTCTTCCTGAGGAGCAGAAACTGGAGGAACCCCAGTGGGCCACTTTTCTGTCTTGGTCCCCTGGGACCTAGTGCTTGGAGCTCAGCAGACACCATGGCATGCCAGTTAGGGGCCTTCCAGAGGCATAGCCCCTGGCTCTGTGCGTGACCTCTACACAATACCTGAATTCCCAGATGGGGTGAACAGTGCAGGAACCTACACTGCTCAGGAGTTGGAAGCCTCAGGCACAGGGAGGTTGTTGGCAGAAAGGGTGGCAGGAGCCCTGGCTCCCCCAGTGGGTGCAAAGGCCGATCAGCCCATTCAGCCTGCGGAGCCGGCTTGGGTCCATCTCCCCCAGGTCGGACCCAGCCCTTCCCAACTCCTGAAGTCTCCAAGGAGGACCAGCTCAGCTGAGCTGGCTTCTGGGCCCGCATGCATGACAGTGCTCTCGTCCTGGCTGCACAGTGCACACCTGCATGGGCTCGGGGCTCCTCCTCCCTGGTCTCCCTTAACTTAGTGTGGCCTGAGGCAAAGGGCAAAGGTCACTGCAGAGTCCTGAGCCTCGTGCAGCTCCAGGATGGGCCTGGGTCTTCCTGGGCAAGAGCTGCTTTGGGCACACGGGTTTGCAGAGCTCAGCCTTTCAGTGGATGACTTAGTCCCTGTGTGAAAGGCAGGCATGCTTTGGACTTGGGACAGGCTTTAGGGTTCCAGAACTGGAACAGGGCAGATCCCGTTGGTATCAGGTGGGACGCATATGCAGAGTTGACTATGGTGAACCGGGAGATGACAACACTTCTGTAACTCATGGACAGGTTTGTGACAGTTGATGACACTCGAGGAAGAGCCCTGAGTTGCTTCCTAACCTGTGTGAAATCTCAGAAGCTGCGTCACCTGCTAGCATCCCATGCTCTGTAGCCTCTGCAGAGACTGAAGTGTGCAGTTGTGAACATACACAGGCAAATGAGCATGAAAGGAGGTCTAGAGCTTTCTCAGATCCGTGTTAGCCCTTAACTGTAGGTCCACAGCCTTTCCGGCCCCAGGCACCCACTTCCCAGAAAGCCATTTCCCCCAAAGGGTATTGGTTGGCAGGAAGTTTGGTTTGGGCATGACTCACCCTGGGTTCCTTCAGGTTTAGGCAGCCAGAACCAGAACAGGGCGGATCCCATTGGTTCCCAGTTCTGGAACCCTAAAGCCTGAAGGGACCCAGGGTGAGTCATCCCCACACCAAACTTTTGAGCAGTGTTTATCTCCTTGGGGAAGCTGGCCCAGAACCTGCAGGGTGGCCAGGCCCCTGACGGACCCTGAGCTGATTCTGCTACAGAGAACTGTTCCCAGAACCCTGTAAGCTCTGGGCTGGCGTTTGTCCATGAAAAGAATGCCCAGAGTCTTGAAAGGTGGAAACCAAAACAGTACCATTCTTCTCGGGAAGTCAGGATTCTGTGTTGCCTCAGGAGCCCTCACTCAAAAGAGGGCTGATGTAGCAACTGTGCGGGCTCTCTGCAAATGAGTTAGTGTGGTCATGGTGAAAAGACCTGGCTTCTCCTCAGATAGTCACATACCAGTCAGCTCATTTCTTTGCTTTCCTGACAGAATCCTCTCTCCTCCTGTTCCTCCCATATTTGTAGAATCCCCGGTTATTAACTGATTACCTCATTGCTGGAACAGTCATAATGGCTCTAAGTTAGGGTCAGGACATATGAGAACTTGTACTGCAACGTCATGTACCTCGGTAGTGTCCCAAATTTTCTGATCAAGGAGATTATGGGGCCAAAGAGGAAAATGATCAATGTAGTGTGCCTAAGGAGAGTCACATGGGGAGAAGACACTCTCAGGCTTTCACAGAGAGCACATTGGCCAAGCAATGGCCATGACTCATTCACATGGCTGACACTGACAAAGGTTCTACAATTGGAGGTACAGGATCTCAGGATAAATCCTGAGGGGATTTCGCTGACCTTATCAGACCCAAAAGCTACAACTCTTGTTGCATAGGTCCTGCTTTACCTTGGTCTTAACCATCCAGTAGAAAAGTATGAAGACGAAATATAGGAAGTAAAGCCATGCTGTTATGTTGAGCTGTGGGGGACTCAGGGCAATAATTTCTGACACTGCCAGTTAAACAGAAGACCCAATACTATTATGGGCTACTGGACTCTTTTAGAATATTTTGCTGAGATTACATACCTATAATATTCAAATAACAGAACTTAGAAAAAAAGGGGTATACAGATGAATGTCCATTTTGTATCTGTGTATTCAAAGTGGATGGGATAGATATATAGTTACATTCTCTTAATGAATAGAATTATTTGTTCTAATGGTGTTTGTAAATAGAATCTCAAGTCCACATCTTGTATAGCAATTAACCACTAAGAAGAATGTATGCAGTGTGTTGGTTAAACTGTCTCATTGCTGTTTATCAATAAAATTATGAAAAAAAATGGCTGTAAGTTTTTCTGACTGTGTTCAGCTTGACATTCTTACTGCATTTCTCAGATCATCAAAGATAGCCTGGATCTCATCACTAAACCTTATAATCCCCGGAATATCCCCAGCATTCCTACAGTATCAGTATGCAGAAAACAAAAAAAGAAAAGAAAGCCTGCCACCGAGTGCTGGTAACACCTGCGAAATTCGTATCTGCTGAAAGGCAAGAGGATACAGCCACTTGGAATGCAGGGCGGGAGATTCTCAGAAAGGCAAATATTCTCTTCATACACAGTCAAGTCCGCTCCTTGGTATTTATTCAACTTCGCCAAAAACTTAGGTCACACACAAAACAGAACACAAGGTCTTGTAACAATTTTATTCATAAGCACAACACATTAGAAGCAATGGAGATTGCATTCAAAACATGACTCAGTATAGGAAGTGTGGTACGTGTGCAGTGGGATATCACTCAGCACAGGAAACAAATGCGCCGTCAAGCCACAAGAAATGTACAGAAACTTGAACCACACACTAGCCAGGCAGAGGAGACTGCGTACTCTGGGCTGCAGTCACTTTTCTCATCACTGAAAAAAACCCCTCACACGTGAAGTTGAAACCACAAAGGCCCACTGCAGGCCACAGCTGGGAGAGGTGTCAGTGCTTGGTTGACTGGCTTCTTGGCAGGGCAGTGTGGTCGAGGGGCAGTGTGGAGGAGAAGCGGTCCCTGGCAGGGCTGCAGGGAGCAGCCGCAGTGAGCCTCCCTTTCCCTTTTAGTGAATGCAGCATACAAGCCCGTGGTTAGTGGGCCTACGCTAGGGAGGGGAAGCTCTCCTCAGTAAATCCATTCAGTCGCACCCACAAGCAGGAAAATCCAATGAATGGGTGGACTAATTCAAAGTGCACACCCTCAGTCCCAGTACTGCACACCCGTGATTCAACCACCTTCCAAAAATCCCATCTAGGAGTTCATGAGGCTTTTGGAGGACACCTAGACATCAGGAGTAATGCCGTGTGACTATAATTCTGTGGCGTTCTTGCAAAGCTAAAGGCATAAAAGTAATAAAAAGATCAGCCTCTGCGAGGGTTTGGGAGAAGGGCAAGAGAGGAGCAGATGAAGTGTACGGGATTGCAGGGTGGAGAAACTGCTCTGCACGATGCTGAGATGGGAGGGGCATGTTCCGCGCTGGCTAACTCCCCAGACTTACAGCACATGGAGCGGATATGACGTACACAAATTTAAGACATCATTTAGGAGCAGAATATATGACAGGAAAGAAGGAAGGAAGGAAGGAAGGAAGGAAGGAAGGAAGGAAGGAAGGAAGGAAGGAAGGAAGGAAGGAAAAGCTATGGGTATATATGCCAGTTAATATACCCAAGTTAATAGAATAATGCAAGTTAATATATGCACAACTACTCCTGTGCTCTGCTTAAATTGAGAATCCTTAGTGTGGAGAGCACAACATCAGTGAATAGAGAAAGAGATGGAAACGAACTTCTTCTTACTTAAAAATCTTGGGGCTAGGGGCTGGTCAGATGGCTCAGTGGTCTAAAGCACCTACTTAGAACAAGCTCAGCAAAGCATGGGGATCGCAGGTTCAATCCCCCAGCACCACATGCCAGCCAGCCCCGCCCCCTGGTGGGCTGAGCTGGCCACACACACACACACACATAAAAAAAAATCTTGGGGCTGACCGCTCAGTTCCGTGGTAGTCACAGAGTGGGGAGGATGGAAACGTGCAGAGGCTGTGCATGCAGGGAGGTTAGGAGCTGGAGAGACTGTGGGTGGAGTCTGACAAACACCATAGCAGTTGGTGGTCAAGGCCACGTTTGTGGTCATGAGTCTGAGCCTTGAGGGGACGCAGCCCATGTGGTGTTGTACCCTGCGATCTTCCTTCCAGAACCCACAGCCACGTCTAACCATCAGCAAAGCCTCTGACCAAGTCGAGCAAAGGGGGCGTCCTACAAGATGCTGATGTTAGTCTTACCAGCTGCCAACATCATCAAAAGCAAGACAGCTGAGAAACTGTCCCAGCCAAGAGGAGCCTCAGAAGGAAGGACAGCGACATGTCCTGTGAATGTTGGGTAAGATATTGGAACCCAGAAAAGGAAACAAGGAAGAAACACAGGAACTCTGAAGAAAGTACTCTGAGATTTTACAGGCATCCTCTTTGTCCTCACAAGCACAAGAAGAGGACTTCCAGGACACACGTATTCTGACACATTTAGTAAATGGAGGACTTGGGAAACCCTAAAGGACTTTGTGATCACTTCTGAACAGCCATTTGGTTCCTCAGGTGACCTGAACTACAGCTCCCAGTTTTCCTTCTGGTTGGCCCAAACCATTTTGTAAGCACTTATCTTCCCCATGTCAGATATTGGGGATACATGAACAAATCTCAGTTGCTTCTCTGCAGGAAATAAATGCAGGAGAAGACACTCAAGATGAAGACATCAGGTTACACGACACCCACTGTCACACACCTGGTCCTCTAGCGCGTCTCCTGCTGTGCTTCACCTGAGTGGGGCAATAACTCACTTCATAGAGTTGTTATGCTTAATTTTTAAAAAGAAACAGAAGGGGATTATTAGGCAAAATTTTAAAGTTCATAATCAAAGAAATAGAGTGTGAGATCTGAAAACAAAGTCTGATCCTATAGAGCGTGGAAGATTTACATGTTTTTTGCAGTAGAATTTGTGAATATTCACCAAGAAGCTACTAGAATATACAAATTCAGTAGCATAGCACCATACAAAGTCAATACCCAAAAGTAGAGGATTTCAGAAAATGGAAAGATATTCCATGCTCCTGGATAGGAAGAACCAACATTGTGAAGATGGCCATACTCCCAAAATTGCTGTACGGATTTAATGCAATCCTTATCAAACTACCACCAACGTACCTCACAGACCTAGAGAAATCATTCCTAAAATTTATTTGGAATGAGAAAAGACAGAGAATAGCGAAGGTAATCCTGGGCAACAAAGATGAGGCAGTAGGCATTACAATTCCTGACCTGAAATTATACTATAAAGCTACTGTGATAAAATCAGCCTCGCACTGGCAACAAAATAGATCTGAGGATCAATGGAATAGATCAGAAGATGCTGAAGCTCCTATGAACACACTGAACCACCCTATCTTTGACAAAGGGGCCAAACATACTCACTGGAAGAAAGATAGCCTCTTTAACAAATGGTGCTGGAAAAACTGGCTCTCTACATGCCGAAAACTCAAACTTGACCCGGGTCTATCACCATGCACTAAACTAAAGTCAAAATGGATTAAAGATCTAAACTTAAAACAGAAACACTAAGTCTCCTGGAAGAGAAAGTAGGAGGAACTCTTGAAGACACAAGGGTAGGCAAACAGTTCACGAACAAAAATCAAATCTCATGGGTGATACTTGAAAGAATTAACAACTGGGACCTCCTCCTATTGTTAAGTTTTTGCACATCAAAAGAAATTACCAACAGAGTGAAAAGATAACCCACAAAATTGGAAAAAAATCTTAACTAATAAACACTCAAAGGTCTGCTCTCTAGAATTTATAAAGAACTAAAAATCATTAGGTCCCCAAAATTTAAAGACCCAATACAGAAATGGGCATCTGAGACGAACACACATTTCTCAGTGGATGAAACTGTAGAAGTGCATAAATGTATGAAAAAATGTTCTGCATTGCTAGCCATCCGCGAAATGCAAATCAAAACACCACTGAGATACCATCTCACCACAGGAAGAATGGCTATCATAAAGAAATCACCCAACAACAAATGTTGGAGGGGCTGTGTGGAAAAAGGAACCCTCCTCCACTGCTGGTGGGAATGTGAATTGATAGACCCTATTTTCAGGAGACAAGTAACAGAACAACTACCAGAGGGATGCATTTTACAGGAGAAATGCACAGGGCCCTCTACACTGGAGTTTTAAAGGCAAAATACAGTCTGAAAACATTCTTTGAAGCCTTGGAATCTATTTCTCTTCAGGTCAGGTCCCTACCTTTGACTTTACCAGTTTAGCTGATTTGTAGAAGTAGAGTACCTTCAAGTGCTTTGCAGTATGATAGTCCTGGAAGAGCCTCAGACAAGCCCCTGGACTGCACAGACATGAGTAGCCCTGGGTGACTCTGTCTTAAAGTCACATTATTCTTAAAAGTACAACTTACAAAGTCTAGTTTTCTTCATCTCCTTCCTGCTTTCCTTACTTCTGCACTGCTGTCTGGTCCCAATCCCAGGGCTGTGATTCCCTATTCTTGAGGCATCCAGCGGGGATCTCGGGCTCTGTTCTTGTGACTGCTCCACCCTGAGGTGGGGCACTGATCCTGCCTCACCAGGGAACCAAACCGTTCCCTCTGACTGATTTAAGGAGACAAAGCAAGATGAACTGTGTGTGCACAACTTGCATCGTCCCTTGCAAGTTGGAAAAGAGGACAAGGACCTCAGCAAGCAACTGACAATTAAGGCTTCAGGTTAAGCAGGACTGATTTCTTCCTGGGTTTATAGAAATGGCTGGCCTACACTATCAACTATTTTAGTTTTTCTGAAATTGACCACTTTTTTTTTTTTGTGGAACTGGGGATTGAACTCAGGAGGCTGAACTTGCCAGGCAACTGCTTATTCTACTGAGCTATCTCCCCAACACCAATGGACCACTTTGGAAGTCAGAAAACCATCCTCATTGCTCTGACAGAAACCACAGAGGCAAGTGCTCATGGGTCCTCGCTAATCTTGACTCAACATTTCTGCTTCCTGCTGATGCGCACACACTTGTTCATACCACTCTTTGTAATTGTGCTTTATATGAGAGAGGATGGACCGCATGGCAGAGCCAAACTCAATGAGACGGTGCTGATCAGAGAAGCCAGCAGTATGCATGGCCACCAAAGAGCCGTTGGAATCAAACACTGGTGAGCCAGAAAAACCTTGATAAAAAGAGGTGTCACAGGTACCAACATCAGGGTTGTGAAGATCCTCCTGGAAACTGTTTTGAGAGTACATGTGGACGAAGCTAGGCCCGCAGTCAGGCTCAGGCACGGATCCTTC